GAGGTGGGGTGGGTGTGGTAGGTGGGGATTGGGATGAGGAATAGGATAAGGAATATTGAAAAAGAGTTTTGAAATCTAATTGGAGAAAAATGAGTTCATGAGGAAAATATTTTCCAAAACATTTAATCCAAAACAGAAATTAAGAAATATTTTCCTACATACCAAAGACACCCTAAAACTTTAATCTAATCCTGGATAGCATCGGTTAAAAAAAAACACACAGAAAAGGACAAGACTTTTTGACAAGTTCCCATTGCCACTTAGCCATTGGGCTTTTGACAACTTATACTGTCATTTATTTTCGGGATAATACTCATTATTTTTTAGATCGAGCCAGAAATTATCTTTCTATATATTATTAAAAAGAGAGGATAAAACCCTTTTTTTGAGCCAAGTGACAGTCTACTAAAAAGTCACATGGCATAATTAGTTAGTAATTAGTTATTTAGTTAATAATTAGTTATTGATTATTAATTTTGAATTTAAATATCAATAAAAAGCGAAAATAATAAAAAATAAAAAACTACCATATATATTGGTTATTTTATTTGAATTAATAAATATAGATATCATATAATTAGCTATAATAAAAAAACAAAAATATAAATATAAAAAAAATAACTACCCATTCAAATTGGGTGGGAGTAGTTTCAAGTTGGAGTTTTTAAATTATTTTAAAATAAAAGAAAAAGAAAATAGCTATAATAAAAAAACCCAAAAAAAAGAAGAAAAAGTACTCATTCAAATCGGAGAGTAGTTTCAAGTTAGAGTTTTAAAATAATTTTAAATAAAAAACGAAATTAAAAAAATTACTAATTCAAATTGGGGAGTAGTTTGAAGTTGGAGTTTTAAAATTATTTTAAAATAAAAAAAAAGAAAATAAAGATATAAAAAAAAACTTTTGATTCAAATTGTGGAGTAGTTTCTTTCTAATATTATATTTTTTTTTGTGTGTATATATANCCATCAATCAACGGAAACAAGGAATGTTGTATTAGAATTTTTTGTTTCACCAAAAGGGATACGAATTGAAGAACCAACTGGAAATTGCACTCCGAGGAGCATGAAGAGTGAGCTGAGCAGGGAGGAAGCAGATCTACCCCTGAATAAAGGTAAATCGAAGGAAGTTGTTGTTTCACCTGTAGTTGTGCAAGCTATAGGTAGTGGATCTGGAAATGGTAAAGCTCAAACACAAGTGATGCAGCCTATCAACAATGGAACAGTACCATGCATCTCAGGTACTGTTGAGAATACTAAAACGGCAAACCTAGGAAAAGAAAGCAAGATGCAATCATGGGCAAATGTGGTAGGGGCAACAAATTAGCAATGAAAGGTATGTATCTACAATTCATTGCTTCGATAATCTAAAATGGAGAGAAGATTGTGCAATTAGACCCTAAGGATGTAGAGCAAGAAAATGAAAAGTGGAGATCTGCAATTGTGCTTTATGTGATAGGAGATTCACCTACTATTGGAGCAATGGAAAGATTCCTGAACTTAGTAGGTAAATTTTCAGTGAAGCCACAGATCTTCTATCATAATGATGATTACTTTGTGATAAGATTTAGTAACTTGGAATAAAGAGATCAAGTACTATATTCCGGCCCCCATACAGTAAATAATCGTCCAATAATCATGAAAGCTTGGTCAACAGATTTCAATTTGCATAATGAAATCCTGAAAACCATTCCCTTGTGGGTCATATTCCCAAATCTGCCACTCAATTGCTGGAGTATGAAGGCCCTAAGTAAGTTAGGTAGTGCTTTGGGAAATCCTGTTTATGCTGATGAATGCACTACTGGATCAATTAGGATATCTTATGCAAGGATACTAATTGAAATAGATGTCACTAAACCATTGCCTAGAACTGTGAAGCTGCAAGATCCAAAGGGCAAAATAATACAACAGAAAATTACATATGATTGGGAGCCATCATGTTGTGCTAAATGTCTGAAAATAGGACATGACTGTAATGAAGATAAAGCCCCACAGCCACAGAGAATGTCATATCAGAGAAGGGTGAATAGAGTCAAACAAGTTTGGCTTAGAACTGATAGAAATGGATCAAATGAAAATAAACAGGAGGCTGAACAAAGTGAGAAGAAGGAAGTAATTCAAACTGCAGAACAAGGGGCAAAGGCAAAGGACAATGAAAAACAAGGAAAGGAAGATGGGTGGATAACAGTACTTGGTAAATCAGTAGCAAGGGCAGCCAAAGCTAAACAAAATGAGGAGCAGAGTTTGGTTGGGAATAAGGGTTTTCAATCTCTGAGAAATGATCAAGCAACCAATGACCCAGGCACAAGTTGTATGCAGATGAGGAGTGGAGGGGTGCAGGAGCTGTATCAAGGTACTCAGTTCATACCAGTATGAGTGTGATCACATGGAATGTTAGGGGATTGAATAAAACCTATAAGCAAAAGGAGATAAAGGAGTTTATAAATAAAAAAAAAGTAGTCATAGCTCTAATAAAGCACAGAATAAAGGAACAGAAAACTAGTGATGTAATGAAGAAGATTGCACCTGGATGGAAATGGATAACTAACATTAGTACAATGAACAAAAGTAGAATTTGGGTGATTCGGGATCCTAGAATATATGTATTTGTCCCAATTGAAATTGATGAGCAGCTAATACATGGTCAGCTTAGAGCAGTCTCAAAGTTATTTACAATTGGCTTTATAGCAATTTATGGACTGCATACCATCAAAGATAGGCAGAGTTTGTGGAACAAATTGAGACTGATTCATAGTACACAATAGAGACCTTGGCTAGCAATGGGAGATTACAATATTGTGTTAAATGAACATGATAGACAACATGGCTAAGTGATACAAGATATGGAGATAAAAGACTTCAAATAATTCATGAAGGATACTGAAATGAATGAGCTGCAAACTGTGGGAAGGGATTATACCTGAACCAATAATCATATTTATAGTAGAAAAGACAGGGGACTGGTTAATGCTAGTTGGATGCTGAAAATGCCAAGCTTGAGAATACAGGTGCTAAAACCATCTGTATCTGATCACTCTCCACTTAAGCTAATGATTAAACATATATAGAGGAAGAAGAATAGGACATTTCAATTCTTTAATTGTATAGCAGACCATCCTCAATTTATTCAGCATGTAGAACATGTATGGAATGTAGATGGAACACAGGAAAGGATGTAGGAGGTATGAGAATAAGCTCAAAAGGGTCAAGAAGAGTATAAAAGGGATAAATACACAACAATATCAAGGAGTGGAGAATAGAATTACAGAAGCAAGGAAGAAGTTGCTAGCTGTCCAAGAGGAGATGAGTGGGCAACAGTCAGACTTAATAGAGAAGGAGAAACCACTAAAATGTGAACCAGAAAAATGGTCTCTGATTGAAGAGAGTATCTACAAGCAAAGATCCAGAATCCAATGGCTGAAATTGGGAAACTCCAACTTTGCTTACTTCTTTGTACAAATGAAGAACATGAGTAATTTGAATGGCATCTGGGCTCTAACAAATGAAGTGGGGATCCAACTAATGCTAGAAGAAGATATAGAGGCTGAAAAAATGGAATATTATAAGAAATTGTTGGGGTCAAGAGCAGAAAGTATACCTGCTATTAATCCAAATGTCATGAAGATGGGAACAACACTAAGTAGGGAGCAACAGTTGCAACTTATACAACCAGTGACAAAAGAGGAAGTATGGCTAGCATTGAAGGATATTAGTGACTTAAAAGCACCTGGCTATGATGGGTTTAATGCAGTATTCTTCAAAAAAGCATGGGAAGTAATAGGTGAGGATGTGACTAAGGTTGTTCTAGACTTCTTTGCTTTATCACAAATGTACAAACCTATTAACCGCACATCAATTACTTTG